CTCCCCTTCAAATCAATTGGAATCAGACACCTAAAATGCCTTTGAGGATCTGGCCTTTGGGTCCAGCTGTCTGAACGGTGGACTTGATCATTCTTGCTACAGGGCTGCATACAGCACTGCCATTGAAGCTCATCGGAGACTCACACACTGCTACAGACTTGGCCTGCAGTGAATAATCATCATGTTATTTCCAAAATCCCCCCTGCCTATATTTTCAAGCTATATTAGGTCAGATTCTCTTGAAAAAGGAAAATTTAAATGGCAATGTCAGGTTACAATCCCCCCTAGTATGAGTATAAATGGAAACAATTAGGTTTCTAAGTGGGCAATGAGTGTCAGGGAAGTAGCAGCATATTCTGATAGTTTTTACTTGTCCAGGAGCTTATTTATTTTGGGGTACAGTTCTGAATTTTTTTGTACTTGTTTACTGGAATGCCAGACAGAATGTTCTCCCTAGATATATTCTGGGAAAGCAGAGTAAGCACAAAATCAGTATAGAAGTTAGAAGAATGATTGGGGCAGTTTTGTTTTTGCATAGTATTTTTGTTTATGACATTTCCCCCTCCCCCCCCATCTGTAGCATAAGGGCCTAATCCTGAAAACACACATAAATAAAGCTACTTATGTGTGTTTTCAGGATTAGGCCCTAAAGCTATTCACATGACTGGTCCATTGAACTCAGTTGAGTTTTTACACTCAACTATGCATTTATCCATTGGAATCCAAGACTCATTCTCTTAATTAAAAATTTAGTTTGTATTTTATTTTTTGACTCTGTTAATGAAAGTACAAATCCAGTGGAACACAATATTGCTAAACTTCAAACACAGACTAATAGTGCAACAATCTTGGCTGAAATCTTGGCTCCACTGAAGTTAATGGAAAAACTACTAATGACTTCAATGAGGTCAGGATTTCACTCCTGAATTGCTTTAGCATTAAAGATAATCTCTCTTTATATAATAAAATTGAGTTATTGGAATACAATGCCAAGGCACGTAAATGTGAGTGTTAGAATTACCTGAAGACCTGGTATTAGATTTTTCTGATAATTGAATGTTCAGAATTAATGTTTGTGACCGTGGGAGCCCTCTCAATGCCAACTGGCAGTAAACCTCCCATCCCCCCTAAATCACATCAGGCCTGACACACTCATTACCCGAACACACTGTTGTCATTAACTATGTCGAAAAGTGTCATATGAAAACTGGTTACCCATTGGTCCTGAAAATCATTGTGTGATGTATGGACAGGGTGTGTACAAAGAGCTATAAAGGTATGCTGGAAATATGTTCTTAGAATGTGTTGGTCAGACAAGTAAATTCCTTTGTCTAGGGCAGACTTGGCTTTATGTGCTGTCTGCCAAATTTGATTGCAGAGGACAATGAAAAGTACAACAAAGCCATCAAGCTAGCAAGTAGAAGAGATGCCCACGTAACGATCACAATGGGGAATAAAGTCTGCATATTCCCCCCCTCCCCCAAGGGACCCTTCCTGTTCTTTGACAAACTTTGAGATAACATAAGGGGGGCAAAGAGACAGTTCAGTCTCCCATCACGTAGGGGACAAAGGGGCACAGCACCCTTTGAGTTCATGAAAAGTGGATCCTGGGAGGCAATCCTGGAAACTGACTATAGGTGAGAAAGCTGCTTAGACAAAGATTGTAACTTACGTTCAGTTAAAACTGAAATTGTGTTTTAGTTGCTAGGACGCGTTTTCTTTTGTTTTACTCAGCCATACCGATTTCTTTCATTCTTACTCATTCTCACTTAAGTCTCTGTTCTACGTTAATAAACATATTCGTGTTTTATTACAAAACCATCTCAGTGCTGTGTATTAAACTGGGGAGCGAGTCCTGAGCTAACCCAACTGGCTGTTGTGCATATTGTCTCTTTGAAGGCAGCAAACTTCATAACTTCTGTGAGTGTCCAGTGAGGGGGACTGGACACTGCAGAGAGATGTCTCTTAGGAATTGGGGTTCACTGGTTGTTGCCTGGAAGGCAAGGTTTGGACTGGCAGAGTCCTGTCGAGCTTGCTGGCAAGGCAGACAAGTTGATGTGACTGGGAGGTGACACATAGCTTAGCAGCAGCAAAACTCACACTTCCTGAGGCCGAGAGGGGTAACACAGTGGTTTACAATTCTGTGTACCGCAAGAGAAGCATCATAATAATAGATAATGAATTTATTCCAGATTAAGTTTGGTAGAATCCCATTAAAGAACAACTACCTATTGCTATACCCAGCTTTGCTGTTTTAAGTAGACCTTTTATGTCCATTTTTGAAATAGATTGAGGTATGCCTGCAATGTGGAGGTAGAAAGGTATTCTAAAATATGAAGGGAAAAATCAATTTTTTTTTACTGGGCCAAGTCTTATTGAATTATGCCGGAAAAGATATTTTTTGTTTCTGCATTGATTGTTCTTCCATTGGGTATCAAGACTTCAGTACTTAATCTGGTCAAATTCTGTGTTTTCACTGGAGATGAAAAATATGTATTATTGTGAGTGGGACGATACTGTGATTTTTAAAAAGAACATCAGAAGAATAGGAATGATGATGGGCTTGATGTTAACTTGAATGGCCCAAATGATGATGGTATATCTGACTGCATATTTCATGAATAAGAATAGTTTGGAAAGACAGTTGCTTGGATATTTGTCATTATTTCCTCTTGTTTTGTTAAAAACAGACATACAATTCGGTTATGTAGTACTTTCAAGAGGAAATGTTGCTGATTTGTAGCAGTATGGCTAGTATTTATCAATGAAACACTACATGGCATGCTAACAAAATGTGAATATATTCCTAGTTATCTTGATAGTTACAGTTTTTGCCTGAGATGCTCAGATTTTGATCTTAATTTTTCTTTGCTTTCATTTAGTCAATTATTTCTCAATGATTAATGATCTAATATTTTCTAAAATATAAATAATTTGTCAAATCAACAACAAGAAGTCCCTGTCCCCTGCTCAGTCCAGGGGTGACCTCAATATGAAGATCTCAGTAGTCTTGGAAGCTTAAAGGTGAAAAGAGAAAGTTGTTCAACTTCCTTGGATCTAAGATATACCACCAGATCCTATAGACACCTAATCCTAAACCGACTGAAGTCAATGGGATTCTTTGGACCAGACCTTTGTGGATTTATAAACAACATAGATTAGATTAGATTAGATTAGATTAGATTAGATAAACAAGACCTTGAATTGTCTTATCTGGTAATGGAGGTATAGTTTATCATTATGGAACCCATTTATTTGGTCAAATAATATATCAGCTCCTACCATGAACTTTCCCAATGTGACTGATTTCCCTCTAACGGAAGGCACTGGACCAGGAGACTGGGGTTCTATTCTTGGCTCTGCCACTGTTTTGCTGGGTGACTTTGGACAAGTCACTGTAACACTCTGTGCCTCATTTCCCCATCTGTAAAATAGGGATAATCATACTGACCACTTTTGTAAAAGTACGTAGTACCAAGTACTATTAATGGCTTTGTATCAAACTTTGGTCAAGTTTCACTCCACTGTGACTGCACTTCTTCATTAAGCTGCTTGGGTCCCACTGGTACTTTGGGTATTCAACTGAAAAAGTGGAAAACATCTGTGACTAAATCTAGTCTAAATAAGTGGGATAGCTTTCAAGTTCTCCTTGTTGTCATTTTATAAGGTTACAATCTTACTTAAATTCCATTGAGAATATTTCTTCATGTAGGTTCCTAATCTGCACACTCTTAAATAGTCCCATTAGAGTTAATGGGTTTACTCATGGGAGTGAGGGTGTGGGAGACTAGGCCCTACTACAGTGTGAATACCATAGTTAGTGGGTTAGGTCACCCTGAGTGGTGCAGAGAGACACACATTTTGTTTTTCTCGTGCCAGCCAGCAATATTTCTCTTGTGCCGTCAGAGGAATTTCACCCTCACCAGGTGTTAAGTCAGGAGGGTTAGTTTTTGCTGGAAGCACCATAAAAAAACCCCACTACTAGTGTGTGCTTCAGGATGTTTCTTTATCAGCATGTCCTCTAAATGTCCTGTCGATACTTCTTCCCTGGTAAGCATTAGCCACTTTTTGGGTTGCACTAGCTCCTGTAAGCCCTGAGCAGCAAATAGGTTGTCACAGCCTTGTGCCACTATACCCTCTCCTTTTATAGACTTTCCTCCTCTAGTGGCCTTTTGTACTAATTAATAGTGGCCAAACCTGGGGACAATCTAACCCCCCCCCCCCATGTTTAACTCACTGCTCTTTTTATTTGTATACTTACCAGTAACTAATTCAGGGTTTTGTTTTTTGATGCACTTGGCAGAGAAGACATATTTATTCCCCTCTTCTGACCTTTTATTTATCTTTATTGTATGGTACAGTTTCTCTTTCTTAATATGATTACATCTTCATGCATACATAAGCTTCTGACAGAGGCAAAAAATTAAAACTAATAATAGTATTTCATAACTTCCTTGTGCTGGAGCTTGGGTGGCAACTAAATACTGGGGGTACTGAGGGGGGGGAGGGAATCCTTAAAATAAAAGTGTTCTTTTGAGAAAAGAACAAACATTAGTAAGGCTGGAAATTCTAAGTCAAAATTACACTCAAAAGAAAACACAGGAAAATTCATCAGAAAGTACAAAGCCTTCATCTGATTTGCAACACACTTTTCAGAAAAAGTCTGCCTTGGGTGTAAGATAATGCTGGTGAAATGTCAAAGACTGTTTAGTTTGAGTGTTGGTATCAAAGTTGATTTTTATCCTTAACCTCATCTTAAATTTTCTTGTCTAAGAATTTCCCTTAGATTTTAAATAACTCTTGGAAATGCTTTGTCTGATTTCCCTCAAACTTTCCAGAAAAACTCCACTTTGAGATAGCCTTCTGAATATTGACATTCCAGGTTCTTTAGTTATGCTTTTGCAGTTCTAGGAAGTGAAAAGTTTGCCTACGTAATGATGTAAGAGATTCAGTCTTATCCACGTCATCACACCTTTGTCTCCATAACAGTTTTATATATATAAAATTTATATATTTATTTATATATTATCTACCCTCGACCCCCAAAGAAACGCAAATACAATGAAGATGCATGAATCTTGACAACTGTTGTATATAACCAGTTGTTTACACATTTGACAAGGGAAAAAAACCCTTATAAATAAAATCTACAGCCCCAGATTGTGGGATGAAGTGGCATCTTCTGGGGTACACTCAGTAATTTTGACTTTTGGAAAACAAACATAATGGAATACTTTCTCTTTGAATAAATAACAGTTTAATTACATTATAGAAATAAAATATGGCATGGTAGTAATACATTGGAAATATTACAGAAATACTATTCTGCTATAGGTAGTTAAATGGTCGAAGCTACTGTTAATGACAATCTTACCAGTACTTGTGTACAAAGTATCATACAGGTTGCTAACAGAAAGATATTGCAGCAGTTGCAAGGATGTTACCAGCTCAAACAAACATCTAACAATACAATATTCTTCTAAGAGGAAGTAATAATGTTAGATTTACAGACAATAAAGAATTATGTTCTCCACTTTGAAACATTGGAAATAAAAGCTCTGGTAATCCAATTTCTCTATGGCATATTGTCACAAAGAAAGACTTTCCTTTCTCTATGACATTGCATCCCAAGAGGCCCTGTAAACAGTTTATTCAAAGGTAGCTTTTCAGATGTCACAGCAACTTCAATCCTATCCTAAAATTACAGACTTTTTAGGCCACTGCTTGTACAGATGACTTTTTTATTGTTACTTATTTACATACATTCAGCCCAATAACAGCAGGTAAAATGTTCTGTTTATCTTACAATAGGCATCTTAACATTTTCATTAGAAGGCCAGTGCAAGAAAACTTTGACAGTGATTGCACAGCATCGAGGAGATACGATATTATACAAATATACAATTAGATCGTTGAGAATCTAACTTTGCACATGATATGGATGGTCTCTTTTATAGATATACAACACTTAAAGTTGATAAATACACCGAACTGTAACTACAGAGTTATTCATTTTATGAGAGTGGGGGCGGTTGTGGAATACTATTTGGGTTGGTTGTGCCATCACCAAAGGAAGGTGGGCAATTGCAAAATAGGACTACCTTAGGCAGAAGTTTAAGTACAGCAAATCTAGGAACAGGAACTGATTTTCTAATGAAATAATAATTATTTAGTTTACATTTTGTAGGGACTTTTTTGCCACCTAAGTTGAGAAATGATGTTAAGATGAAATATAATCCACAAACCTTTTAAAAAACTCATATGTAAATGAAGATCTTGATATGTGAATATTTCACAGGATGTGATTTCTTATATCAATAAGCACCAAGTTTAGTGCCAAGACAGCCCCATTGTCCCACGATTTATCACATAAAATTTAGAACTTGAATCCACAACAACAAAAATTTATAAAATTTTCATTGAATTCACAAGAAGACAGTTTCAAAAAATGGCTCTTAAAATACCTTTTCATTTGACATTGTGTTCTTTCCTCCCAGACTGCTGCATGAAAAACAATGTATTTGTGGAAAGGAAAGAAAGCTCTTTCATTGTTAGATTTCACCAGAAGTAGAGCAATACTCTGAGAAACCTCATCCTTTAGTCATCCCATGGGCCTACTCTTACAAGGTACAGTGGACCTCCTCGCAGGGTTCTAGGCACCCTGCTCTCCCACCCAGGTAAGCATGAATGGCAGGAACTCAGTATCTGTCAGGAATTACTCAGAACCTTGCAGGATGGGGCTCTTACAAAGTGCCATGCTATGACCAGTCTTTAGGAAATAGGCCTGAATCTTCACAGCTTTGTACCTTGTGGAGTCATTTACACCAGTGCACAGTAGCCGTAAAATGCAACTTCTCTGATTTGGACTCAGATACCACAGATGTAAATGACTAAACATGGAGCTACATCCTTAGCTCCAGTCAAGTTCTGCTCAGCACAGTACCCTAGATAGGGTTGGGAGCAAAGATGGCTATATGACACTCCCTTGCTCCCCCCACAATCCTGGGGCTGTCTGGTGTTTGGTGCTACTGGCTGCTCTGACTTGTGAGCAGCTACCACAGTGTCCAAGAGGTCATTCTGGCAGCCACAGATCATCAGTGATCTAGCCATGCTTCCTTTCCTAAGCTCCTCCCCATAGAGCATGAAGAGGTGGTGTAGAGTTGGCTACACAAGCCCTATGCCACTGAGGGATTCCCCGTCTTGGGGGAATCCTTGGGTAGCTAGTTGGCTAGCTTGGCTTTGTGGCGGCTTTAGCATAAAACAGGTGGAGCAGGGGACAGAATATGACCTAATGTACCAGGTAGTGGAGAATAAGGCTCAATGGCTCTTATTCAGAATGAGATTTAGAGAATATCCATGTCAAGAAGGCGATTTAATTACTAAAAAATATCCAAGGTTTTAAAAATTTCCATTATAAAATGGAATTGCACCTTTGGATCTAAAAACTCTTTCTTTGCCTTAATTATGATGGTTTCAGGTTGATACCCTGTTTTTACAGTGAGACACACCTGATTTCAAGCAAATAGATTTAATACTCAAGGACTTTTTTGAAAAAAAAAAAAGTCTTATCTCCAACATTCAATTTTTTTAACACTGTAAATACTGATTTTCTGTTGTCTATTTTTGTTCATGGCATATTTTGCCTCTTACCCTTTCCTCCTGATTGTTTTCTGCCTTGTTCTCAAGTAAAACTAAAAAGGTTATTTTCTCTAATACATGGATAAGTCTCTCAGTGTGGATCAACGAGTATGTTCTGAATCTTACAATTAGTAAGTTCATCACTGATCAGCTGGAAGAACTCAATTTTAGGAACAGAATTCATGTGCAAAGAGTGCAACAAGAAATAGTTTACATTTGGGCACAGTTTCCTATCTTAGTAATACTATTGTGACCCACATTTACTTAGTATACGTACACACAAGTGTGCGCACACACAAACACAGATATTTATTTATATAAACGCTCAAACATAAAAAATGTCTAATTTCGACAATACTTGCTCCTTGTTTAGTGAAGACTGGAGTTTGGCATCTCAGGCTTTAAATCTGTTTAATCCTGGGATATAGGAACACAGCACAGTTCCAGTATATATCAACTGCACAGTAATAACATTATACACTGAATCTGACACATGCTGTTTTCAGAGGTCCAGTGCTAGCAGTTGCCAATTAAAGAAGCCAGTATCCAGTACCATTTCTTTTTAGTGTTCATATTTACATAATGCCCACCAGAAAGGCATAGTCCGTAAGACAATAAATGTCCTTATGTATAAACGCAGTGGTATTTAAAAGTCTGAACCAGTGCATTCCTTTCTGTGCAGTGCTAGTCTATATTCCCTTGTTGCTGTTATTCTTCTACACAGATGAAAGTTAAAATTAATGGGGATTTCAAATGTCAAATAATTTTAGTTGAAGAAATACAATGCCTTTCCTCTAAATCCACAGAAGCCGACTAAACATGTAAAATTTCCAAAATAGCTCATAGGAGTGCTTCAAATACAGAAGGTATTTTCAGTGGGGTTTACATAACACATATTTCACATTATTTCCACACAACTTTACGTTATCACTTGGTTTAGTTAGACAAATATCAGTAACAAGTAATAAAACAGTATACATTGCACAGGACACAACACATTTTACAGAACCTCTAAAACTCAGTACTGCCGCTTTTGGAAAGAAATGAAAACTTCTATGACTTATAGACATTTAATACATTTCACAATGGAATGAACATTATGATTACAAGGCTTTTTCTTATTTGATGACATGGCTTTAGGATGTTTTAGTTTTCAGTTAGGTTTCACAAGTTTTCAGATTCCCCTCCACTCCCCCCCCAGTAACTTCTGAAGGAATTGTTGCTAGTTTGACATTTTCTGTACGTTCTGCCAGAGTTTTATACTTTATTATTCAATGAGCACTTTCTTTAATTGAAAACTTTTATTTTTTTAAAGTAGTTTGAATCCCTAATTGTTAAACTTGGAGGACTGGCCAATGGCAATGATTCTTAAAACAATCATTGTATAGCTTATTATGACAAACTTAAATGTTACAGGTGAGGGAACAAAAGCTTTAAGTCATGTATTTTTTGTTAGTTTAAAACAAACTTCTATTCTTACAACGTTGAGAGGGCTTTGATTTACAATGCCTCTGCAGTTGTGTCTGTGGAGACAGACATGGTCACTTTGGCGATCTTAACTGTGCTCTTAATACAGCTTTCAGCTGCCCTGTGAACATTACCTGCATTGTTAGCATGTTTGTGCTGGCAGTCAGACTCCATACTGTTATCAAGAGGCTGCGTAGTCCCTTCACAGGGTGGAAACATGCTCCGGAAAGCATGTCTCAAGTCCTTGCTTCTTAGAGCATAGATGATGGGATTCACTGTTGAATTCATCAAACAGAGCATGCTACAGAATGCAAAGACAGTCTTGATGAGCTTGTTCATTTTCCCAAAGACATCATACACCATAATTGCAAGTAGAGGACCCCAGCATATGATTAAAACCACCAGAATAAGGACCAAGGTTTTGGCTAACCTGATGTCCATACGAGTTTGATCAGGTCTAGTAATATGTACTTTACCATCCTCTGTGGTATGAATTATTATGCTTTTTTGAGTGCCACGCTGAATCATTCTAACAGCATGACTATGAGCCTTCCACAATATGTACATATAGGCATACACAATAAACAGCAGGAGTACAGTGGTGACCCCAATCCAGAACATTAGATAGGTCTCATCAATGAGAGGGAAGATGTCTGAACAAACAGAATTGAGTTTTTTGCAGTTCCAGCCGAGCAGAGGAAGAACAGCTATTACGATAGCTATGGTCCACATCACACAGAATGCTACGACAGCCTTTGGTCTGGTAACAATTCTTTTGTAAGCTAGTGGCCTGTGTATAGATATGTACCTGTCTATTGCAGTAAGGAAAAGGCTGCCTACTGAAGCAGTGAATGAGGCTGTAACTCCACCCAATTTGAACAGAAACACATTAGGACTGTCTTTCCGATGGAAAACATGGAAATCAACAAAACTGTAGACGAAAATTACACTGCCCAGGAGGTCAGCCACTGCCAAGCTGCCAATGAAATGGTAGGAGGGCCTGCACCGGAGGCTTCGAGAGTGCAGGATAACACACAGCACTAGAAGGTTCTCCAGAACGGTGAAGGTGCCCAGGGTAAGGGACAGCACTGCAATGGCCAGCTGCTGGGTGGGGTTTAGAATCATAAAGCACTCCATATCCATGAAGTTCTCCCCACATTGTAGATTCTCCTCATTATCCTTGAAAGTGGATAGGGACTTGTTGTAAAAATCTGTAATATTGATCTGATCCGATGGAATGATACTTAATAGGGGATCATCTCCTGCAGTCATTTTTTCTTGGAAAGGATCACCCCTGAAGGAAGATAAGGGGAATTTCTGTGGGTAGTATCCTAGTTTGGAGGCCATGTCACCTTTAATATCTTCGTACTGGATATCGTTGGAACCCATGTAAAGAAGATCTGTTGTAATTGTTCGGAAAGTTGTGTCTGCGAGGCCATCTAGGATCGACTTCATAACCCCAGTCTTGTATTAGGTAGGATTCAAAGAGACTTGGGAAAAAATACATGTGAGGAAATCCTGGGAAGGGGGAAAAAGATCAAACAATTAAGATAAACGGGTAGATAAAGTTTACAAACAACTTAACTCAGTCATGACAAATAACATTTCATCTTTCCTTGTACTGAACTACAGGTCTAGCCTTTGTCACCTGCTATGTAGTCAGAAGAGTTGATCAATTATTTAGAAGCAAAACATCTGAAACACATTACATGTCTACACATGAGAAAGAAGCTGAAAAATGGGGAAAAGATATTCCCTAGAAAATAGTTTTAATTTTTCATCAAAATTTTCTGAGCAGCTCCACCAGAAAGATATTACCTCTAGAATTGAACTGAGATGTCTGATTTCAAAGAACCTTGTGGAACAATATTTTCTGACTTTTTCCATTTAGAAACAATTGCCAGTGCAGAGATCATTTTAAATTGAACAATCATTGTTTTACTTTACTATTGAGGGTGTTGTAAATCTAACTGCAAGGAAAGAACACTGAAGGAGGGGATCAACAAAGATTGATATACAAATGCAGATTTCACTGTTCACCCTGTCCGTATTCCTGTGTGTGTGTCTAGGTCTGTGTTGCAGTAATCTGAGCTACATATTGAAGGCCTAGTGCCAGGATACTGGATATATAATAATTATTGAAAATTAATTATTAAATTGTTTTATTTATATACACACTATATGCATTTGGAGGATAATGAGTGTCATTATTCTGTTAATTACTTCTAGCAGAAGTAGTAGCAGAAAACAAGGGAAAAGTGATGGTATTCTACATAAGCTGTGCCCACAATCCCAGAATGTTTCTGATAAAATTAACAGTAGTTAAATAGTCAATATTGACATTTTACAGTAATTTCAATCAATAAACTTCAGAGTTAACACCCCATAGAGATGAATAGGGGCAGTTCATTTTTGCCCTAAAGCTACCAGGCCTGATTCTCATTTGCATCAAAACCTCTTTACACTACTCTGGCAGTATAAAAGGACCTTAAATATCTACCTTAAAGCCCCTTTATATTGCCAGAGTGGTGTAAAAGGGTCATAGTGCAAGTGAGAAGCAGACCCATTGTTTCTGTTTATATTAAGCCTTAATCAGACATTCATAAGGCTATATCAGCAACTATAAGTGCCAAAAAATTAATATTTTTGTTTTGTTTGTGTTAAAATGGAAGCTTAAACTCTGGAGAAACTGATGGGGTCATCAGCAAATTACTGGTATTGCATACAACCACACACTGACTTCACCTGATCAGTTGGTATGGCTGGCTATAAATGTTAGACAGCATACAAGGGATTAGTTGGCAAAATCCAGAGAAACTGACTGCCTCAGTCCTTGAAGTAAAGAGGGGAGTTCCACAATTATAAGAAAATACATCTGCTCAGTATTACTGAATATAAAAAAAATATGTAGTAAAAAGTATGTTTCCTCTCTCATGACAATAGTAACATTTCAAAATGGAGGCTATCATTGGTATTTCCAGAAAGAAGCAGAGATCATCTGTCTAGCTAGATATTTATACTGCAGTTATGCTTTGGTATCTGAGCACCTAGGCTCTTGTCCAAAATCCACTGATGTCAATCGGAGGCTTTCTCACTGACTTTAATGCGTTTTGGATAAAGCTCCTAGACAGCTAGTGTTAAAGGTAGGATATAAAGCTACACCTCAAGAGGACAGTGCAACATCAGTGTTGTAAAAATGGTGAAAAAGTATATGTAATAACCGGAGAGTCTAATACGTAACAAATGGCTGTGTGAGTTTTGATATCATGTATAGGGTTCATAACTGTGCAAAGCAAAATCTTCATTGTAAAACAGACAGTCTTAAAATGGATTAGGTAATTTAATTCTTAAGGTCTGAATGGTGATGAAAGACAACTTTCCTGAAGAACATATTGAAAATAAATTATAATAATCTTACATTTAATGCTCCTTTCATCCAGAAGGTACTTTATAAATGTTTATAGTGGATTGTATTGATTGTTTTAGAAGGGAAAGCCGTGTTAGTCTGTATCAGCAAAAACAACAAGGAATCCTTGTGGCACCTTAGAGGCTAACAAATTTATTTGCGCATAAGCTTCATCAGATGCATGGAGTGAAAAATACAGGAGGCAGGTATATATATGTTACAGCACATGAAAAGATCGGAGTTGCCTTACCAAGTGGAGACATCAGTGCTAACACCTTCTTGTCAACTATTGGGAATGAGCGACATCCACCCTGATTGAATTGGCCTCGTTAGCACTACAAAAAGTAATTTTCCCTCTGTTGATATTTACCCCTTCTTGTCAACTGTTGGGAATAGACCACTTCCACCTTGATTGAATTGGCCTCGTTTGTACTGACCCCCAACTTGGTAAGGCAACTCCCATCTTTTCACATACTGTAACATAAATACCTGCGTACTGTATTTTTTACTTCATGCATCTGGTGGAGTGGGTTTTAGCCAATGAAAGCTTATGCCCAAATAAATGTGTTAGTGTCTAATGTGCCACAAGGATTCCTCGTTGTTTTTATAGATTGTATACATTATAACAATGATTTTGCTGTCAACTGATTTGTAACCAACTCTCGGGTGAACTGGGCAACTTTCTAACAGAACACAGCTTATAACAGTATGTAAAAAACACTTTATTAATTTCAAACTATAAAAAAACCAATTAACTCTATACACATATAAAGATGATGGTAGTATTTAAATATTCAATTGTCTTAGAATTTACTTCTGCCAGAGGAAAGACAGCTGTCTTAATCATTAAAGCTATAACTCAATGTCAAGAAGATTGTATTTGAGTCAAGACTGCAAATTGTTATGCAACTGAGTACATCTACGAGAAAGACAAATTACTCGGAAGGAGATAGTTTCTGCTAGAGTCACCTTAAGTATATATTGCTTCATAATAAAGTACAAGCCCTGGTTCAAATCCTACCCTTGTTTAAAATACAAAAGAAAAACATGAATTTGTGTCAAGTATCAGAGGGGTAGCCGTGTTAGTCTGGATCTGTAAAAGTGGTAAAGAGTCCTGTTGCACCTTATAGACGTATTAGAGCATAAACTTTCATGGATGAATACCCACTTCGTCAGATGCATGTAGTGGAAATGAATTTGTGTGTTTGCATTTAAGGTTTTAGAAGGAGTATGTTACAGTACCACTATGTATGCAGACACTAAGCTAACAAGATGGTTAATGGGATCACAAGAGGCAAATCCTACTCTGCATTTCAATGATGTTTTTCTGTATTTCTACATTTAGATTATTATAGTGATTTGCACCTTATTGCCTTTGCATAGAGTTTTCTTTGAGAGTTCATTAGTAATACAGTTTAGGCTTTTGGGGATACAACTGACATTAATTTTGTTATTGTTTGCTGCTGGGAATATCATAATTGGAAATCTCTGGCAGTATGTGTGCATGCACCTATTAAAGTAGCAGTTGATTTTTATTAAAGTTGCAGTAAAACAACCATTCAAGTGACACTGAACTGTATTTTATTGGGGGTTAGCTTATTTTTAATATACATAATATGTTGTCTCTGTATAAACTATAGCATGGATATATATATAATCAATTAGCAAACTTCCTCACTTCCAGCTAGTGAAAACAGAAGTCAGAGTTTATGGCTGCAGAGTTAGCAGATGACTGTGGTCCAGATCCTCAGCTGGTATAAACCAGCGAAGCTCCTCTAAAATCAAAGGAGCTACATTGATTTATATTGGCTGAGAATCTGGTCCTATATTCTCAAAGGCAGGCCCTCATTCATGGGGTCACTTGCTTGTAAGATGCATATGTCAGTATTCTGAGATGTCAGCTCTCAAATATTCCATCTAGAAACAGTTCAGTACTATTACTCTACAAATGGAGAGATTGATGGCATGTGTGGAAGTGCCAATGGCAGCTGGATATCTTAGGGGACTGAAATGAACTATGTGGCCATCCTCTTCTAAGCAATTGGTTTAAATCCAGCCCAGATCAATAGTGACCATCAGATAACACAAATAAATGGGTGAGCTCCACTGCCATTTCATAGTTGACAAGAGTCCACATCATGAAAATCACCAGCACACTTCTCCCCTTGTTGGCAGCTTCAATAGTGTTCAAAATCTTTCCTCCCAGGAGTGGTCCCTCCAGGACAGCGTGGAGACATATTAATGCAGCAGTGTGGGACCTTGCATTTCTACTGCCTGTGCTGTCTGTACCTGTTCTGAGACTAAAGGACTTCTATCTCCAAAGCGCTTAGTCTGGCACCTGAAATGAGCTCTCTAGGCTTGCTTTTAAAAATGGCTTTAAAAGAATGAAAAAAATTGATTAAAGATGAATTAGAGGCACTGCTGGTGCCAACCCTAAAAGTTTTAGTGCAATTACATAACTACATGAATTAGTTCACAGTAAGTAGTGAATTCTAACTACAGACAAAAGTTAATAGATTAAAATCTCCAGCTAAAGTACAAGGTAAATAATCTTCCCTTTTACCTTAACCTCCTTGCCAACAAAAACAAACAAAACAAACGCACACTACTTTAGCCCATATCACTTCTTCCACATAAGAAGTTTTCCACAAGCCTGTGGCATTGTGACTTCCACTACCACAGAAAATGTACAAAGTGTCATCCATTAACTGGACTAGTTTTTAAGGACACAATTGGCCATCTTGTCTGTCAATGACATTACTTGGTTTGACTTTGGTTTATCAATTCTCCTTCCAGTTTGCATTATTAGGGCTTGATTCTGTGAAGTGCTGACCACCCACACCTTCTACTAAGAGTTGTGGGCACTTGGCACTTTGTAGGAGTGAACCCTTAAACAGCTGAATTAATTAAAGCCTACGGGGCAAATTCTGCCTCTGCTCCCCATTGCACAGTCACGTAAAGCCTCTTAAGGGTTACATAGATATTACTAGAATCCAGAAGCTGTATGCAGTAGTGACCATGGAAAGGCTGTGTAAATACATGGTTGGATTACAGGAGGATCAACTCTCTCCTAAACCTTGTGTAGGTCCCCCATGCAAAGCTCATTTACTCA